CTGCCCGGCTCACAGCACCGTCCTGTCCACCGAGACTGTTGCTGTCTCCACCACCATCTGCCCGGTCGAGGCCACCCAGACCGCCGTCCCCGTGCCTACCACCCAGGCCTGGTCCAACAGCACCGGCGTCTACCCCACCGGCCCTGCTGGCGGTGAGAGCTCTGCTCCCGTCTCCGTCCCCGTCTACAGCATCCCCGCCGTGTCTTCTTCTCCCGTCTACACTGCTCCCGGCTCTCCCGTCACCCCCGTCACCAGCGGCTTTGCTGCTCCTACCGGCCTTGCTCCCGTCAGCTCTGCTGCCCCCGTCTGCCCCGGCAGCTCCGTCGTTGCTGTGACCAAGAGCTACACCACCGTCCTCACCTCGGTTGAGTACCAGACTGTCGCCGTCCCCTGCGCTACCGGCCCCGCTGGTGGTGCTCCCGGCCCCTCTGGCACCGGTGCCGTTCCTCCCCAGCCCACCGGCCCTGCCGGTAACGGAACGTGAGTTTATCTTTTATCTACATTGCCTGAAAGAGACAAATATGCTAACTAGTTCTTCCAGCACTGGTGTTCCTCCTCCCGTCAGCGGCGCTGCCTCTTTCGCTGGCTCTGCCGTCTTCGCCGCCGTTGCCGGTGTCGCTGCCCTGATCCTCGCTTAAGCGTCTTCCTTTTCTTCTCCTTTTGAATTAAAGGCCTGCGGGACATGGCAAACGCACACACTCACGACAGGGCGGAAAAGCCTCTTCCTTGAGATCTGGTTTAGACATGTACAGAAGTTTGATCTAGATCTTTATTCTTGCAAATAATAACTAGAGCTTTTACGGCAACCACCGGGATACCCTCAAACTGTTTTCTTCGGGGAGTGTGTACTTAATCTTCTAATTGCACGGGCGTTCGCGGGGACGGAGGCTCGGCAGACAGTCGACTGCGCGGGTCTTGGTCCTGGATGTCTTTTTCTTTTTGAACGAAGCATTTTTTGGTCACGAACTGAGATATCACTTTTTTATAACGACTTTTTGTGCTTTTCAGCCATTTCAAATTTACTCTTTCCACTGAACTGAAAGCCTGCATGTCTTTTTGCCATCTATGCTTCGTGAAATTGCCCTTTGTGAAATTTGCAAGGGAAGAAAATTTCTGTGTGGAATATTGTGTGACCCCTGAAGGGTATTCTCTCTAACTCAAGTGTCAGTGCCAATCAACCGGGCACCTGGAGCCATCAGGTTCTTTGGACTTGCCCAACCCCCCCTGTCGACGTTGATTGTTCTCATTTCCGCGAAGCGCCAGCTTGTTTCCTGTTGTGGGCAAAGCTGTGTCTTTGTGGGTGGGCACGGGCTCATCCATCCGCACACCACCATATTTCCCTTCGAGGTGTGAAGCATTTTATAATGAGTACGTTTTAGCCGTCGTTTCTCGGTGGTCTTGCCTGATTGAGGGAGAATTTCTCTCTCGATGATGTGTGTGTGGACGACGCCGGCTGATGAGGGATGCTTGTGCGGGTTTGATGAATCTTGGAGGGATATTGAGCTGTCATGGGGGCTGCGAAGGAGGGTGAGCATGACTTTGATGCGGATGGTGAGCTGGGGAGAGTTTAAGGGATGGCAATTGGAGGTGTGTATACTTGATCTTTTGTAGCTCGGGCGTACTTAGCTTTGTTCTCTGGACTGGATGTACATGTCGTCTGCTGGATGGAATGCTAGACGTTGTTTGTGCTAGCGTGGCTATATGCTACCAACGTTGCTTTGAAGCGCTGGTATGTAAGCTTTGACCTTTTGTGTTCTTTGCCAAAGAGATCTAGAACCGCCACGCGCAGGGTGTTGTTGGCTAGTCGTTGATCTCCCTCGAGGATGGGAAGAAGGACTATGTAGATAAGAGTATCACTGGTATGGTGAATACGGAGACTTGGAGTCGGCATAATGTCTCTATGAAGCGGTGATGTATTCCGACTTGGCCTGCTTGCGAAGTCTGTGTGGTGGTAAGGAAGGCATGTCAGAGCCGAAAGTTTATATGTGAATATTGGAAAAGGTTGTAGAGGTGAAGGTGATACGCAGTCATTAGCTGAGTGACCTTTGTAATGGAACCATGACTGACGGAGAAGGCTTTGAAAGACATGGGAACATTCACACTCCTTGTGCGATGCTCTGCAGAGCTCAACTACCATGATCAAGGTGGTAATCTAAGTGAGTCGTGGCCGTTAAAGAAGAGAGGAATCCTTCTTAATGAAGGATTGCGTGATGAGGGATACTCACGGGGCCCTTCCCTTGGACTGAATCGAGTTCAAGGTCTTACGAATTGACTAGACTTCCTGACACACCACACATTCAACAACCTCTTGCACAATCTCTGACAGTTGATCCTTACATGACACTCCAATTTCACTAGGCCTCTGGAGGATTCTTGCCTATATGCTTCGGATTCTCTACACAAAATGCCCTTCTTCTCGCTCTTGTTGGAGCATTCCATTGCTGAATGTCAAGTTCTCGACGTTGCACAGCAGGTAATTGACTGTTCTATGCTGTAGATCGACTTGCTGATGGCACTGCACATCGCCCTTCGGATAGCCGCTTGCGAAGATCAATAGTAAGATGATACACGCTTCACTTCTGTTTTCCCATACAGTCGTTGCGATAAATAAAGGTGGCCTGTCGTGAAAAGAGCCGAGACTTGCGGTATAACCATGACCTAGGTACGAGTGCTCCTCACCCTGTGAGTGATCGGGGCTAAGCCCTGGCGACGTCGTCAACTCGATTAGTTTCCGCATCGGTTGATTCTCTACTTGCGCCACTGAGTCTTGTGGACTTTGATCCTTGCAATCTATAGTAGTGATGAGGTGCTTAGGGTTCGAGTATCCAGCACCCTTGCTGGGCTATTCGCTCTCTTAGTACCATACCCAATGAGACTCTCTATCACGGCTACCGTCATATATATAGAGTATATACATACATATCTAATTGATCGATTGCTATATAGTCGTATCATAATGAAGTGTGTAAAGAGATGTGTTGATCGCTTGAAGACACTGATGAATTGTCAAGCAAGGTCCCTTTGAGTCCTTATCCTTTCATTCAAGCAATGGACGCAGAGAGTTCAGTCCCTGGTTCTCGTCTGTTCAATACGCATTGTGTTTAGTCACTGTCATCAGGCCTCGTCATGGCTTGCGTGCGCATTTCACTGAGGTCGGACAATACCATCACGATCACTTTTGGAAACACAAATCACATTAGTCACTATGCACCTCTGATCGAATTCAAGAGAGTAGGGAGGTATACGAGGCTCCGCGCAGGTGTAAACGCATCTCTCTTTGGGGGGGCTTCGTTAACTCGGCACTTTCTATATCAAATACCGGGTAGGGTAAGCCAGGTCGGTCCTACGGTAGTCGACAAGTTGCATCTTGTAATCTATCTATCATACATATACTCTTACCACTATATGTGCGCGCACTGCTCGAGGTTCCATTCGGCAGTCTCCGATCTGGGTGTAGCAGGACGAAAAGGATTAATCAGCCTTATCTGCTTACATGTACTACCACCAGCCCTACATACCTTACCTAAGGTAGTACTCGTACCACCGGCTTGCTTCAAGAGTCAGACCTCACCAATACGACAAAAAGAGAGAGAAACAATACGACAATACGACTCTCCGCCAACGCAATCCCAACTCGTCAAAACCTTGCAACACACGATACTCGTAGAACCTCGTCCGACCCAACCTCGTGCCGCAAAAGTCAAAAACCCAAGACGCGAGTGGCTCAGTGTCTGTCCACGTCAATCCGCCTCCGCAAATGCAGCCCATCGGCATCGCCAGCAGCAAGTGAGGCTGGACAATTCCCATCTCACAGGATCGAGGATCGAGGATCGAGGCTCTGTCGCGCTGGTTCCTCTTCCTTCGCACTCGCTTAACATGCTCCTTTAGGCTCAAGCATGTATTGCGGTACCCGCGAAAAGCACGAGACGAAACGCGATTGAACGCTGCGAGGCTGGACGGGGCTCCGCTTTGGTGTTGCTGACGGAAGCGACCGCGTCACTGTCGGATCCTCTTTAATGCCCTGTCATTTTTTCACCACCATTAGACTTCACTTCCTCCGAGTCAAGCACGACGGACAAAAGTCCGCACTCCGCAACCGTTTGGTACAGCAATGAGCCCATTCTCTGGCCGACAAGGTACGGAGGAGTCCAAGGGTCAAGAATGACGGGTACATTACCAGGTTGAAGAGGCTTGGTGGAAGGGATGGGAAACTGCAAGTTCAGCCACCGGCCCATACAAAGCCCCCTCCCCTTCCAATCGCGCTCCTCCTGTGCGGACCGAGCACCACGTTTTCGAAGCCGTCGCGAATCCTTCGTCCTCGCCCTTGCTTCATGCTAGCAGCAGCAGCAGCAGCAGCAGCAGCAGCAGCAACAGTAATCACTATTGCTACTACTACCGGGAAGAAGCAGTATCCACGTACATGCCTGCTACCTGCTTAGTCTCCCGCAGCCCCGAGCTGAGCCACGAAACAGACGAAACCAGCTGCTGCGGCATGGCGTGTCAAGGTGCCTCATCGTCAGCACCTTTATCGACAACTCTGAGATCCCAAGGGCTAGCGGCGCCACTTGAGCATGGATGCCCTAGGTTCCTGTTCTTCTTTTAGCTTCAGCTTCTTGATAAGCTTGTCTTGCTTTCAGGGATGACGTTGCATCATGTATGTAGCCGGGCTGTTCACCTTGGGCGGTGTTCGGCCGTGTGCTGCTGCAGCGAAAGCGAGTGCGATGAGGGCTTGTCCAATGGCATAGCGCATGGTGATGGCTGATGGTTCGGGCTTTGCTCGAGAAATGATAAAGAGAGCCTCGTCCCCCTTGGGACTTGGAAGGTTGAGAGAAGAGAACAAGACACAACAATTCGACCTTACTCTTCTTTGTTGAACATACTATATAATCCGTGGCTCACAAGAGCAGCACAGCCAAGCCGACCAACAAGGCACCTCATCCATCCTTTCATTACACAAGCACAGTCACAAGAGCCAACACCCAACACCATCAGTCATCACCATGTCTCAAGACCCGCCCCCTGGCACCATCACCTTCGGCTCCGATACCACGTGCGACCTGCACAGCTGCCCCGTGGAATGGAGCATCTACGGCTACCGTCCCTCTCTCGCCGCAAACGTCATCTTTGTCGTCCTGTTTGCCATTGCCGGCATCGTCCACCTGTTTCTCGGCTTCCGGTGGAGGACCTGGGGGTTCACTATCCCGGTCCTCATCGGCTGCATTACCGAGATCATCGGATACGTGGGCAGGATAATCCTGTGGAATAATCCATTCTCTTTCATTGGCTTCATTATCCAGATTGGTAAGACCAATATGCTCATTCTTCTATTCTCGCTGTACCCCTTCCCGATGCTAACTGGTTTTTCCTTTCATCCAGTCACTCTTACCATTGCTCCCGTTTTCTACACGGCCTCCATCTACGTGACGCTGTCGCAGTCCATCATGTTCCTCGACCCGAGCCTATCCCGCTTCAAGCCCCAGCTGTTCTACTGGATCTTCATTCCCTTCGACATCGTCTGCCTCATCCTCCAAGCCGCAGGAGGCGCAATGTCCGCCGAAGACACCGGCTCCGACCAGGCCGGTGTTGACATTTCCCAAGCTGGTCTCAGCCTCCAAGTCATCGTTCTGGTGGCCTTCATCGTCGCTTTTGGTGACTACATGTTCCGCTACATTCGGTCCGGCCGCGCCTCCAACTGGGGCTGGCGCCTCACTGCCTTCTTCTCCGGCTTGACGACGGCGACGGTCCTCATCCTGGCCCGTTGCGCCTACCGTGTGGCTGAGCTCAAGGACGGCTATGATGGGAGCTTGATCAAGGAGGAAGCTACGTTTATCGTGCTGGAGGGTGTTTTTGTCTTTTTGGCGGCCGTCGCGCTTTGCTTTGGGCAGCCGGGTCTGGGGCTGAAGCGAGAAGCTGTAGAGAGACGAAAGATGGAGTCGGATAGTGATGATGTTGAGATCAATCCCTTTGGGCCGCGAGTTTAAGCTGTTGCGAGAGAAATGATGGCGTGGTTGAGGACTGGATGGAAGATATCCGCAATGTTTCTTTGTTACTTGTCATGGAGTTTGGGTAAGCTGGCATGCTGAGCAAGGGGGCACTGATTTTTTTTGTCTTGTTTACATCTGGGTTGAGTCTGTCTGCATCATATAGAGAGCTGCTCGAAAATAGATTTATTCCTCCATCTGTTGTGTCACTACCTACCTAGGTAGAGCAATAAGGTACATACTTGTACCATCACCATCTTCATCCCGTCCCATCGGCCCCGCTTTTCCGCTTCATGTGCCGAACCCCGGAATTGGAACTTTTGACGTCGAGGCGCACCTTCCAATTTGCTGCTGCAGCCCCTCCAAACCCCTCCTCTCTTACCTCCCTTGTTCAACCAGCACAGAACAACTTCTCCGCACTCTCACAATCTCTTCCTCTCTTCCTCTCTTCCTCTCCTTCATACCATTTCCCTGCATGATCCTCTCCTCAGCAGCGAGACGGTCACGGACATCCATCCAGTCTCTGGCATCACCTTTCAGGTTAATAACCAGAACCGCATCATCGCCGTTTTCGACCACTGCCCTCATCATGGCGCCCCCGCAAGCCGCCCTCGACTTTGTCGACTTTGTCAATGCCTCTCCCACCCGTACGTTACCTCCCTTCTTAGCTTTCTCCATGCTTGCAGATCCAGACTGAAGCACGCAAGCAACCTTGTCATCTCCATTACTGACAGACGTCTTCCTCACAGCCTACCACGCCGTCAAATCCGCCGCTGCCCTCTTCGAAAAGGCCGGCTTCACCCTGATCAAGGAGCGCGACTCTTGGGCATCAACCCTCCGGCCCGGCGGCAAATACTACCTTACCCGCAACGGCTCGTCCATCGTCGCCTTTACCATCGGCCGCAAGTGGCGCCCTGGCAACCCCGTCGCCATTGTCGGTGCTCACACAGACTCGCCCTGCCTCAGGGTTAAGCCCGTGTCCAAAAAGACCAATGTCGGATACATCCAAGTCGGCGTTGAGAGTATGAGCAAACCCTGACTATGTTATACTCCTGTCTTTACTAACCCAACATCAGAATATGGCGGAGGCATTTGGCACTCTTGGTTCGACCGCGACCTGAGTCTCGCTGGTCGCGTTCTGGTGCGTGAAGGCGACAACTTTGTTCAAAAGCTGGTCAAGGTTGAGAAACCCATCCTGCGCATCCCGACGCTGGCCATCCACCTGCACCGCCAGACCAACTTTGACCCCAACCTCGAAGTCGAAATGCTCCCGATTGCGAGCCTGGCTGCCGCCGAACTGAACAAGGGCAAACCCACCGAGTCCAAGCTCGAAGAGCCCAAGGACGAGACCATGCATGATGGCGAGGACGAGGACTTCCATCCCCTCGAGAAGATGACGGTGCGCCACCACCCAGCCATGCTTGATGTAGTGGCTAGTGAGGCCGGCGTCGACGTTGCCTCCATTGTCGACTTCGAGCTGGTCCTGTACGACACGCAAAAGTCCGTCATCGGCGGCATCAACGACGAGTTCATCTTCTCACCGCGCCTCGACAACCTGGGTATGACGTACTGCTCCGTGGAGGGTCTCATCTCCTCCGTCAGCGCCTCAGATGCCCTTGACGATGACTCGACGATCCGCATGACCGTCTGCTTTGACCACGAGGAGATTGGCTCTGAATCAGCACAGGGCGCTCACTCAAACCTCCTCCCAGCGGTTCTTCGCCGCCTCTCGTCTCTCTCTCTCCCGACTGACGCCGCCAGCGACGGGAGCTACGAGCACGTCCACCACGAAAGTGACAACCCCACGGCCTTTGAGCAGACGCTGTCCCGCTCCTTCCTCATCTCTGCGGACATGGCTCATGCTGTTCATCCCAACTATGTTGGCAAATATGAGTCAAGCCACCAGCCGGCTATCAACGGCGGAACCGTCATCAAGGTCAACGCAAACCAACGCTATGCCACCAACTCTCCCGGCATTGTCCTGTTTCAAGAATGTGCCCGCAAGGCCAACACGCGCATACAGATTTTCGTAGTAAAAAACGATTCGCCGTGCGGATCGACTATAGGTCCGGGCCTGGCTGCGAAGTTGGGAATTCGCACACTGGACCTCGGCAATCCTCAGCTGTCGATGCACTCAATTCGCGAAACGGGAGGCACGGAGGACGTGGGCAACGCCATCAAGCTCTTTGCACAGTTCTTTAGGAGTTATGGCGAGATTGAGCCGAGAATTCTGGTAGACTGAGGGGAGAAGGGGGGCGTTGGGGTTGTTTATACGGAGTACAAGCTGAGGGAATACACACATGCGCCCTATGCAACAGATGACATGTGTGAGAATTGAATGCCTGGGGACTAACTGAATGACTTGACCCAACTGAAGGATATCGAAGATGGAATCGACAAGGAGATACTCTATACATATAACCCAGGGCTGCATATATCCCCTATTGCTACTGATATATACTGAGGAATATATGGGGCACTTTAAAAGGAATTTATCCACTTCCTGCTATTATCACTATATTCTTCTAGGCTGACTATAAGGTAAGAGTAGAACCATATAGCAAGCCTGGAAGAACAGAAGAATATAGTAATTTAAGCTACCATTTGGGGCAATGATAACGCAAGAGTGATTAGATGGCACAATACCTGGGAATAGGACGAGGGCATGATAACAACTTGGAAGTAAAGGCACTGTATATAACTGAAGAGACCGTCATGATACCCCATCATCATATCAAAGGCGGCATGATCTCTTGCATAGACGAAAAAATCTCTACAACATGAACAGATTCCAAAACTAGGTACCTAAACAAAGCGTGTTGTTATCCATCGTAAACCCTCGCCCCAGGCCCTAGATATTATCCTCTCCATCTCCGCATATCCCAGTCTACCAAAACCCATAGGCGTCGTCCTCTTTGCGTTCCAGCAACGAACAGCACTCAGCGTCACAACCACCATGAGTTTCAGAAAACACAAAGTCGACCTTGTCCTGCGCCCTCCACCCGACGCAGCAGGCTTCGTTTTCGTTGCGCCGTGAAGAGGGCATTGTACTGCTCGTCTTGCTCAGCTGCGGCCATGGGGCGGTCTGAGGACGTGTCACCGATCCAGAGTGCTGGCACGTTTGGGTGCTGGACGATGGGCAGAATGGCCATGTTCTCCGTCATGCGCCCGGCCTTGTCAATTACGATAAAGCATGGCTTGAGCTGGGGGACGCGGTTGTACAGCATGTGTAGAGCAACTGGTGTACCGGCAATCACATCAGCTTTGCAGATAAAGTCGGCCATGGCCTGTCGGGCTGCATAGAGGTAGTCTCTTTTGTGCTCCTTGTATGACGCCGGGTCGGACACTTGCAGATCCCAGGCTTCGAGGATAGTCATGTACTTTGCAGGATCTCTTTTGGCAATCTCTCTCAATTGCATAGCGAGTGATGCAGGGTCCGAGGCTGGATTATTCTCCATGTAGAGAGAGGCCTTGAAGTCGTTGATGTGATTGATCAGATGCTCGGCCGACTCTGGGCTGTCTTCGTCAATTGTCATGTCCTCCGGGCCGTCTAGCTTCGCGGCCATGAGTGCACGTAGCTCGCGATTATACGAATACACGCGAACGATGCGTTTGCCTCGCGCTTTGGCTTGAAGCCAGCATACGGCTTCTCCCACCTGGGCGTTTTGGGGTGCAGTCCACACGAGAGGCGTAAGCTTTGACGATGATGGAACGTCCTCATCAGCAGAAAAGCCGGATGGAAACAAGGTGTTGCTGGGGTAGCCGCTTCTCAACGCGTCAGTGAGACTGTTGAGGACTTCCCCTGACGTGAGTGATGCTCGATCCTCTTCTGTGGGCAGGGTTGGAACAATGGGCGTGACGGAGTAATAATCTGTCGATGTCTGTGCCTCCGCTGTTTCCTGCTCCGCCACGGCGTCGTCACTTGTGCGAGAAAGCGAGTTCCTTCTGAGGCGCCTGATCCATTCACGAGATCTACTCGTCTTTGTCTCGTAGTCGGCTTGGATTTGATCCGTGGTCGACACAGTTACGATCTCGCCGTCCAAGATAGCGGTGACGACAGTGGTAGCGAAGGTTGACTTCCCAGAACCCGGTCCTCCCGTGATGAAAATGCGTGCCATGCGTGCCCTCTGGAAGACTTCAACCGCTTCAGCGTGCTGACCGAGGAATCTTTCTGCTTTTTTAGCCTTGCCAAGGCCGGTGAACATCTCAGTGAGGTCGTATTTAGGGGGCATGAATCTTGGCTCGAATGCTACTAGATAACTCCACCAGTTGGCTTGGGGAGTGTGCGGCCACAGATCGTTCATGTCACTGATTGCTGCGCATTCGCATCGAATAGAGGCTTCGTCAACATCGTATTCAATGCGGGCGATGGTGTTGCCCTGGACTCTGGTGAGGTTGTTCCAGTAGGCTTCCAAGTCGGACGGGAAGGGCTGGGCGGCGTCCAGTTTCAAAGGTGGCGGTTTCAATCCATATGGCCAATTTTCCTGCACTGGAGCCTGGATCACAAAGACGGCGACGTCAGCGAGCACGCCCGGGGGGAGACGCACTCGGATACCCGGGCAAGGTTGGCCGTGTTTCCTAAAGATAGCCGGGCGACAGATGGCTGACTGTTTGCTCATCTAGAGCATAACGCGTTTGCAGTGCTCAATGTCATCTTCCAAATCTCGTTTACGCAACTCATTTGCGTTTTTATATGCATCGTATAGTCGTTTCACAGCGGGTTCCGCGTCGGTAAGCATTTGGTCGGCTTCGGAGGAGAAGGTGGCGATATAAGGGAGGATCTTGAGCGCGGCGACACTAAGAAATGTGCGCTCATCGATTGTTGCAACCAGCTCCTCCTGCTTCGTGACATCCTCAATGTTACCAGCTTCAGCCTCCTCCCTCATCTTCGCCAGCACCTTCTCGGCGTCAAGCAATGCGTTATATGCCCGATTTTCAGCCAGATCCAGTGCCTGGCAAAAGACCCTGGTTATGGCATCTGCCCGTGAAATGTCGAAGAGCCTTCCAGGCGGAGCATGCGGGTGCTGATGGAGGTTTGTGTGTATATCTGAACGGACGTGCCGACGTCGGGTAGGAGGCCTCGATCAACGGATCCCAGCGGAACAGACACCAGGAAAGCTTTGAGGAACCCAGCGCCTGGAATGCCGTACACATCTTCGTCCGAAGCCTTGCGACGCCATTCTGATCCGGGAAGCGGAAGAACATCCGCGGTGAACTCTGTTGACTCACAATCGATGGATCTGGTGAGATGCCAACGAGCCTCGTCAGCAGCGCTGCCGATCAATCTGACTGTACGCTCATCTCGTTCTCGCCGGCTAATAGCAGAATCGACAACAGTTGTCCGAGACTCCAATGGCGGCGGTGGCACTTCAAAGTCGTCCAAACCGTGGCTCATGTTTATGGCGTCTTGCGAAGCATATGAAAGCCGGGTCAAAGGAAGGTGTACTCTGCCGTAGTGAACCACCTCGAGGTATTTGGCTATGATGCTATCAAGACGATTGCCATCAGCGGCATAGAAGAGCAGCTTTGGTGGTGGTGTATCTCCAGTTTGAGCTTGGTAGCGCTTATTGGAGTCACACATCTCGGCCCGTCGTCTGTTGGTGGAGCGGCACGGGAGATTGCTGGAAAGAACCGGATGCTCGGGAACGGTGTCCAAAAGAGCGTCTCACGGTATTCATTCGGGTTCGGCAGCCTCCTCTCTTGTGACACGACGCACAACGTCTGCGAAGTCATCTGCCTGGGAGTGAAGGCTAGAACAACTTGAATGTCGTCATGAATCCAAGAGAATAATATCGAAGCATAGGGGTTGAGGTTCCATATGAACACAGTCGGAGAAGTGGCTCTGAAGAGAGTTCCATTGCCTGTGGCAGTGACCACAAGGGAACTGTCGATTGAAGCGCAGTATCTTTCTGGTATAATCTCTTGACCTTGGCTCGCCAGTCAAGTCCGATAAACACCATCCAAAGAGCGAAGGCATTCGGCAAGACTTGGAGGGCCGTATCCAGTGCCGTAGCCGAAGGAACGCCAAGCGAGCGACTGATGCTTGAAGGATCTAGCTCCTAGTCCGAGACCCCGAGAGATGTTGTTGTTCCAAAGGTGCTGTGGTAGCGAGTTGCGAGACAATGAGGCCGATCCATGTCAGGGCGGGGCTGCGAGACATCACGAACTGAATCTGCGCCTCGAGCAAGCGAACCGCCCTCGTCTCTTTTTGGTTTGAGATGAACTTGCTTCCACGGATCAGTCCAGATGTCGCTCGAGATAGTAGTAGAACCGGGAATCATATGACGATGGAAGCACGACGAGCATTGGATCTGCTGCATACCGTGGCGTCGCTCAAGTTTAGGTAAGGTAGTACCTACTAAGGGAGGGAGGGAAGGAGGGGTGGGCGGAAGGATCCGAGCCCCTGCCACCTTAAGCGAGAAGAGGGTGTGGAGGAGGATGGAAGCGCTAGCCGAGTTTGTCGAGATGCAGATTGCAGATCTGGCGAATCTACAAGTCACGTGATATCAATGGAAGAACTGAAAACTCCACGATGGTCTCAACATAGGGCAAACCAGCTTCATCTTCCAGCACATACGACCATAGGTAGTGGAAAATTCGGGGTCTCGTCTGCTCCCCCATAGACAAGCCACTAACCGGCAGATTAGTAGTTGGGTGGGTGACCACCAGCGAACACCGGCTGTTGTATGTTTTTGCTTTTTTTCCTTTTGTTTTTCTTTTGCTTCTTCCATTCGATTGTTGTTATGGGATGCCCAAGGAGAAGTCGACGGCAGCTCAACAGTGTGTTTGCGTGTTGTGAACCAGACGTGGGGGAGAATTCTTGTCCAGATGCTCATGCACATACCTACTCCGGGGGGCGCTAGAGAGACTACCAACATGCCTAGACATGTCAGATGATGAGAACAGCAAAAATAGCATGAGGAACAGCAGACGAAGAACATAGTATTGTTGTAGTTTCAAATGATTCGATTCTTGTCCTCTTTGTACGACTCCCTGGTAAACTGCACTTGCTCCCAGTCTTGGACTTCATCTCCATCATGTCACACTCGTCTCCTCAACGCCCTCATCCTCCATCTCTTCCGACAGTATCATCAGAACTTGGGGACATCCGGAAGCTCGGGTGTGTTAGTAATCGTATCTTGGGCAGAAAAAATAAAGGAGCTCAACTGAAGTCGCTACCTGTTCACCCAATCAAAGTTACCATGCATGGCAGTGGACCGGCCTTGTTGTCATTTATATAAAGTTCAAGGCTTATCGGAACGACGAACAACCGGTGGCTGAGCTGGCTGAATTCCATTCGACTCACTCACTACCTTAGCACCTTGAGTATGACTCAGGATAAGAAAGCCTTCTTTTTCTTCGCAGCCCTGAATTCCTTTATCCAAGGCTGTCTTGACTACGTAAGGTATGTCGAGGAAGCCTTGTTTGTAATTGACGCCCCTTAGCTTCTCTCTTCTCACGGCTTTCTTTCTTCATGTGCTCTCACCCCGTTCCGAGGGGTATAAATACCATCCTCTATTCCCCCCAGCTCTTCTCAATGTTTCTCTACCAGCTTACAACCCAAACTCTTACTTGTACACCCTTCAGCTTGTACTCTGCTCACACAGCCTCTTGCTCTCACACAATCTCTTGCTTAAACATTTCTTGCTCCCACACGTCCCTAGCTCTTTCAACCCAGCAATTCGCCCAACAAGCCATCATGGAGCAAAACAACGACCCCCAGGCCACACCCTCCAATCCCCCGGCCGCACCAACCAACCCCCCGGCCAACCCCCCGGCCACACTCACGCCCGCTCAAGAGGTAGCCGCCCTGAAAAAGAAGTTCAAAAGAAAGCTCCGAAAAGTCGTCGCCATGCGGGAGCAGACACCAATGCTCGTCAGCCCCGCCACGGAAACACAAGCCAAGGGCACCTTGTCCTCTTGGGATTCACTCTTCACTGGGGCGAATCCGACGCAACGCTTGAAGGACATGTACGCCAACCTTCGCAACTGTCTCATGGTCGACAGCAAGTATGGCCATGCCGTTGCCCGCCTCCACCAGCTCGAGCTCGACCTTTTCCGGGTCAAGTACGAGGAATACCTGTACGTGGCTTCGGCGCCCCAGGAGGTCCAGGACGCCGCTGGACAACTCTTCGTGGGACAAGTCGCCACCGCGCCGGCCCCGTGCTCCATGCCTGGTTGGAGAGACCCGATCCCGGGACTGCACAATGAAGAGTTGGAATTCTTCATGACGCAGGAATGGTCGGCCATCATGAAGCGGCTGGAGGAGGAGCGCATCGCCAGGCTACCACCGGCCAGCGACAGGCCCTATCGCCCCAAGCCTCTCCGTTTCTCCTGGGAAAGACCAAAGCCTTGGGAGCGCTCGTCTGGCAACGATACCCTCCTCCATCTCTGCTCCACCCTCGGCAGGCTGAGGATGACTTCCACGACCGAAGTCGTCGAGATGATTGAGGAATACGTCGACCGCACGACCAAGTGCAAGGAGCGCAGCCGCATTCTGGACTATGCGTCGCGGCGCTGGATCGATGACATTACCGGGATTCTAGAGACAGACCTCCGGTATTTGGACTCTGTCCCCCAAGAGTGCTACGAGCACGTGCCGGCCTTGCGGCAGGCCATGGGCGATGCCGTCGCAAGGCTGCTTGAAGTCCATGATGAGTGGGGAGTAGAGCACCAGCTTCGTTTGGGCCGGTGGTGCGAGAGCGAGACTCAGTGGTAAAACATTGAGAGTTGTACTATCTGGTGTCCTCTTTAGAGAATGGTCAGGGGCTTGAATGTGGGAGAATATCCAGCGACTGAATTTGTCTACTTGGGGTTTATAACCTGTTAATGTTTAATGCGGAACTTGCTGATATACACTCTATTCAGCAAGAATAGAAGTGTATAGCAAGACTAGAAACAAACAGCGATAGTAGAAAAAGTACCAGATAGTAGCATGCTATTCTCTACTTACGATAACAATGATAACAAAAATCATATGTTTACCAAGGCGCCATAATAGCCAAGTTGAAATCTTGAATCTATAGTAGCATGCCAACAACGCTCTCTAGACAAGTTCTGTTTACCACTTGCTCCATGTCTCTCTATAGCGGTACACCCCATCCATCAAAGAAAGCACTCAAGTCGTGAACCCAACTCCAAAGCCCCCAAAGACGAATGTTTCCTCCCAAATACCACACAAGAGAAAAAAATAAAAAAATACATTGCTAAGCCACCGCACTCCTCCATCTTCCCATCCCCTACCTACGCACAGGTACTCCTCAACGACGACACCGGAGCCGGCACCGGACTCGAATGAAACATCCTCGAAGGCGAATCCACCACATCCCCCCTCCCAAGCAACAGGCCCCCCTTATCCCTCTCCCCCCCAGCATCACCATCCCGCGCAGGCGTGTTCCCCCTCGTCTCCGCAATGACACTGTCCTGCGACGAAGCAACAGCAACACTCACGACAACATCCGACGCTGTCGACGACGACGACGACGACTCCTGCGATAGACTCGGAACTCCCGGTGTAATCGAGCCTACACTCCGAATTCTAGCATGCGCACTCGTGCTCTCCGCAGATGTACATGTGTTTGCTCGTCTGCGCATAGTGTTCATCGTCGATGGCGGAGGAAGAGGCTTGCGCTGGAGTTGAGAGAGGGGGACTGAGGTTTGGCCCGTTCGGAGCTTGTAGCCTGCGAGGCCGAGGCGCAAGCGGAGGATCTCTGCTTTCTGCATACGACTGTCAACTTTCGGCGGGCTCATCTGAGGCCAAGAGGAAGGGGAAAAGAGGCACCTCTCTGGCTTGTTCTCGAGTCAATGTCCTGGGCCTTATTATTGTCGTCGTTGTTGTTGTTGTTGTTGAAGGCGTGGGCTCTGTAGTCGCTGTAGTAGTCGTGATGCTTGAGGAATCAAAGAGGGAGCTCGTCTCGACGCTGGGCGAACTTGATCGCGTGCTCTATACATTTCTCGTCAGCCCAGCCCAGTAAACAATCGCCAACCCAAAGAAAACACCCGCGGCACTCAAATTTCCCTTCTCTCTGCTCAACCGTACAAATCCAACTAGCACGACACCAAATACCCCCCATACAAATCCGCACATAAAGAAGGAATTGTGTCAACTCACCACATCAACACACGCCTTTTTCGCCGCCGGACTCTTATCCACAACCTCCTCCTCAACAACACCTCTCTTCACCCCCTTCGCCGACTCGCTCTCCAACGCAGAATTACTGATACTACTGCTACTACTGCTACTACTCGCCGACGGCGTGAGCAGCAATACCGGCAGATCTTGCCTCGCGACAACGGCAACTTTCTTCCCAGGCGTGGCCATGGCCGCGTTCGCGTCCAGAGAGCCAAGGACGGCGCGTCTCTTGGTGGGCGATGCGATTGCTTGCATTGTCCTCTATGTGATTCGCAATTCGCCAAAACAAAAGAAACGAGGGAGGATAAAGAATAACAACAATGAATAAAAGAGGGTTTCTTGATTATTGTTAGGAAAACAAGAGGAAGAAGAAGAGGAAGAAGAAGAAGAACGCGACGGGGTACCTTGAGAGAGGTGCAAGTCGCGCGCCCACAAAGGGTACCTATCCGGCCAGTTGAAGATGTGGGGTGTTGTTATGTACCTACCTACTATCGCGCGTTGGGGGGGTAAAGTAAGGTAAGGTATTGGAATCGGACCCAAAACCGCTGATATTGAACCCAGCTCCCCTTCTTCTCTTTTACTAGATGAGCGAAAATGTCAGAAGTTGCAATGCGCGTAATCAATGCTTCAACGCTGCAATGATGCGTTTTGTAGATGTATTCGTTGCAATGGTTGACAATAGGGACAGCCAAACCTTGTTCGAGACAAGACCAAAGGTCAATGCAAGCTCTCAAGGCAAAACGACGAAATTCCTCGGGGCTTCACTTAACAAACGAGACCAAGAATGACGCGCCACAGTAGAAAAAGAAAAGGGGGACGAAAGACACAATCACTCAAAATAAGTAAATACCTAAAATCAGCCCTCAATCCCTGCCCACTTACACAAAAAAACAACATCCTCAACGTTCCTCTTTACGCGTCTTCTCTTCTCTAGGTACTCTTTGCCCCCCCCCCCCCCCCCCGCCCAGTCGTCCCTGACCTTTTGCCCCACAACACCAAAGCTGAGCTTCTACAGTACATAACCAGCTCCCCCCCCATGTTTTCCCTCAACCAGTACAAGTACAGTACATGTACCACCAAGAAAAAACCCACGTCTTACTAGAGATGATCTAGCGCGGATGCGTCGCCCTTCCCGTCAGCGAACCGCGTCGCCGGATCTTCAGACCATCCCTGAATCGGCCTAGCGTCGCGGTACAGCCCATGGGACGCCTCCTTTGACGTCGGCTTGCGCTAAAGACAAGGGAACATGAATCTTAGCCATGGAAAACTTGTCGATGCCGAACGATCGTCCGGCACATGACTCCAAACACCAAAGTCACTAAGGTAGGTAAGTAAGCAGGCAAGCAGCGAGAGCGGCACATGGACAGACATCTACGAGTGCATAATGGCATCGACCCTGAGCATGCAATAAACCACCCAGGCATCACGACTTACTCGAAACTCCTGCTTTATACCTACGACACGTCACGATGGAGACATACAGGGCATGGCATCGAGAATGAATACCTAGTACTCCTATTTATGCGACATCCGTAGTCGTCACTAACTAACTGATCCTAGGTAACGGTATCTATTGACAACCGTCCACGTACCTATGTAGGTAGAAGATCAAGAGCTTTACTCTTTATACCTCTCCATCCTTTCCGACCACACGCGCACTCGTAAACAAACCACCATATTACCTCCGGTCCATGCAGATCCCGCCCGGGTTTCGTCACGTTTCGAAAAAACGACATAAGCAAATAAACTGAAAAGAAAAGTGTAAACGGCCGTAACACGAGACACTGAAAAGAATCTCGAGAATATCGCGCGTTTCCATCAAGTAGCATCCATTGCCGCCCTGCCCCAACGCCCTGCCAAGGTCCCGCACCTGTTCGTTCCGTAATGTTTTTTTTTTTTTTAACTTTACTTTTGGAAAATGGCACCCCCTACTTCCACCGTCCAATAGACAAACCACTGTGGTATCAGTCATGTCGTCATCTGGGTATATATCCTAGGTCCTAGGCTCCAAAGGTATGAAAGGAGGAAAAATAAATCGCAAGCATGAGAGAGAAAATGCAAACGGTAATGAGAATTGGGTTAAAGAGGAAAGGCGAAAGGTCATCGCCCTCACCACCCGAGGTGAAAGAGACTGGTGTCCATTTCAAACGGCTTGGAGAAGTCGGTCGGGTTGAGATCCAAGCCCGCGAGAGGCGGGGGCCGTCTGATCTGGAGAGCAGGCTGCAGAGCGGCCAGCGCGTCGTCGGATAGCTTCCCGTCCATGTTGAGATCGTGGAACTCTGCGAGGTAGTCCCGGTCCAGGCTCTGCCAGTACATCTCAATGTCGAGGGCAGCATTCTCAGAAATGTCGCTGTTAGGTTCACTGCTGAGGCCGTCCTTCAACGAGTCCGGAGTGCTCTTGGGCGTAAACATCTTGAGGAACTTCTTTCCCTCATTGGCGACGGTCGGCAGCCCGTCCTCAAAGCCGAGGTTCTGGAGCAGAACATGGGTATCAATGGTCCCGTTGGCCCATGGATCCGGCTTCGCAGTGTCCTTGGCCTGCTTGCCATCGCCGGGCTTTGCAGCTGCATCCGGCTTGGCACCAGCTTTGGCGTCTAAGCCTTTGCTCAGCGCGCTGGCCGACCTCTTCATGGCTGTGCCATCCTGGGACATGGGAGTAAGGGCAATGTTTCCAGGAGCCTGGCCCTGCTTGGATGCGGAGGCACTCATGGCCTGGGAGCCATCCGCAGGCTTCTGCTCCTTCTTGGGGCTGCCGTCCGCCTCCAAGCCCAACGCCAGTGCAAGGTTCTCCTTCAAGTACCTCACCGGATCCTCCTTGGGCTTGATGTGCTCCTGCTGCACGTGTTGCTGGAGAGCTTGCTCGGTAGGAAAGCCAACGTACGACATGTCGCAGTTGGGCTCCGTGCAAGAAAAGACGGGTTTCGGGGCCGGAGCGCGTGCGACGTTTGGAGAGGCATTCTTCGCAATCTGAGGCGAGGGGGTAGCTCCCTGGGATGGCGGACCGGAAAGCTGTCCGCCGGTGGTCTTTTGCTTCTTGCGGGCAGGCGGCAGCTGCAGGTTCAGGTCTTTCGGCTTGCTCATGTAGCTTGGGTTGCCATGGGGCGAGGTTGCGCCGAATGGGAAGGGCGGCTGGGTCGTGGTCGGCGCAGGAGGGGGACCCTGACCTGCCTTGCCCGCTTGCTTCTGCTGGCTAATCTTATTCAACGCCTGGGCGTTCTTTTCGAGATTGGCTGCGTTCAAGGGGGCCGGGTGCGGTGGCTGAGCCTTCTGCTGAGCCTGCTGCTGGGCTTGTAAAGCAAGCTGCTGCTGCTGCTGGTTTTGCTGTTGCAGAGACAGTTGCTTTACTTGCGCAAGACCCGGCTGCTGACCCTGACCCTGCGCACCGGGCTTCATCATCTGCCGTCCTATTACGCTGGCTGCCAGATCCTTGGCCATGCTCTCGAGCATAGCGCGAGCTTGGTCCAGGTCGGAGGATCGGATGCTAAAGACATCCTTCATAACCTTCATGGTCTCACCATCGACGTGTTGCTTGATGATACGCAGACGCTGTGGTATTCTGAGTTAGCATGTAGTCGACATCACAATGGGGTAGTGATCCTGCGCAGCACTTACAGTTCTGAAGAACATCCTGGCACGTGCATCATCTTGAGTGATGGCGTACCATTTGCTGAGCCCACGACCAACCTTGCTCATGTCTGAGACGATTCGCTTCAGCTTGCCGGCAGTCTCTGCATATTCTTCCGGACTCATTTGGATGTCCGCCATCGTCTCCTGATTGAACTGCTTTTGTTCCTCCACTCCAATCATCTTGAGACGAAGCAGGGTTTCATTGACAGCTGTTGGCACCGCTGGTGGCGCAGCTCCCGCTGCAGCTCCCGTGGCCGGCGTAGATGTGGTCGTCGGTGGCGTCGCCGTGGCGTGGTTCTTCATGAGTGGCCCGAACCTCGCATTCATGTTTGCATCATGCTGTGGCGCGAATTGGCTAGTCATCGAGGCCATTCTCTGCATTTGTTGCTGAGCAGTCTGAGGCGCTGCCGCTGCCGGTCGAGAGACGGGCGTAGGGGCCTTCGTGCTGGCGGTATCAGCAGCATCGTCTGGGTTGGGACGCTTCAGGTTCTTGGCCGGCGGGGGCTGGTTGTTGCGATTCAGGTTCGGCGTTGCGTTCTGCGGCGGTGGCGGCGGCTGTTGCTGCTGCTGCTGCTGCTGCTTCTGATTGTTCGTCTGCATGGGCGCAGTCTGGCTCATGGCGTTTGGTACCGGCTGCGGCTGTGTCTGGTGAGCAGTGAGGATGGGTTGGGATTGCTGAATCTGAATGGGACCCTGCGGCATAGTCATGTGGTTAGGAGCCGGTTGTTGCTGGTTTGCCTGAGTCTGAGCCTGGACTTGGGCCTGGGCTTGAGCTTGTTGATTGCGCAACTGGTGTTGCTGCTGCTGCCAGCTGGTCCTCTTCATCTGGAGGATCATCTGTCGGAGCTGCTCATCGGGGACGCTGACCAGTCCCGGTTTCTGACTGCGAACGTGCATCATCTCCTGAGCCGATACCTGAAGCAGCTGCGGGGGTATATTGGGCATCGGTCGTTGCATCCCTGGTTGCTGATTCGGAGTCATCTGCATGGGCACGGTTGGATTCATGTTGACACCCTGTCCAGGCTGCTGAGGCACATTGCCATTCCGCCTCGACATTGCGATCTGAAACTGCCTCTGCTGGATGGCAGCCAGTTGGCTGCGCATGTTGGGTTGAAGGTTGCCGCCGTTGGAGGCGATCCAAGCCTTCAAGTCTCTCCATTTCTTTACCTCCACGGGCAAGCCCTGGATCTGGTTCAGAACATTGGGAGGCAGATCCATCGAGTCCATCACGTACGCGACCTGTGGGTTAGTGGCAGGCATACGGGCCTGTGTCATTGGCTGTTGCTGGTTCCCTGGGCCAGCGGCATTCGGTTGCGGCATGGCTTGAGGACCCGGGGCGGCCATGTTGGGTCCCATTGGGCCAAACTGGTTCTGAGGTCGGTTGGCCATTTGCGCCTGCATCATCGGGTTCCCATTCATCGACGCCATCTCCTGCCGCTGGGTCTGCCAGCGACGCACAATGTCTTGCAGCTTGTCGGGGGCAAGGCCATTGATGGCTTGTCTTTGTTCCGGCGTCATGTTAGCAAGCATGGCGTTGAAAGCGGGGTTGTTGGGCCTTTGAATTCCCTGATGAAATCGCTGGTCGCCAAACTGGATGCCTGCCGAGCTTATGCTCTGGGGCCCCATGGTCTGGGGCCCCATGGGGTTCATCCCGCTAGCTCTTGACACGGGCGTGTTGAGGGTGTTCATGCCTGGGCTTTGCGATGTGGGCATGCTTGCCGCCATCTGTTGCTGGTTCTGCAGCTTCATTTGCGCCTGCGCCTGCAAAGCTTGGGACTGCTGGGCGGCCTGGTTCAGCTTGGCCTGCTGCTGTTGCTGCTGTTGCTGCTGTTGGGAGTTGAGGGACGCCTGGTTCTGCATCTGCTGGTTGGACATGTTCTGGTTCCCAGGGTGAGAGGCGACTGCGCCTCTTCCGGCGCTATTGCTTTGCGGCACGACGACCTGGCCCGCTTGCTGAGCTCTCAGGCCATTCAGCTGCTGATCCTTGATGCTTTCCATGCTGGGGTTGAACTGGGAAAAATCATGGGCCGCGGAGGACTGCTGATCGCTCAGCATGCCTTGCCTCTGTTGCTGAAGGGATTGCTGGCTGAGCTGCTGCTGCATCATCGCAGCTTGCGGGTTGTTCTGATTGGCGGCATTGCCTTGCTGGAAGCGGTTGTTGAGCGAGGACTGCTTGAGAGCCTGGAAGGCCTGATGCTGGTACCACCAGAGGAGAGGGTCCTTGGCCTGTGTCTGAAATTCGGCAAGCTGCTGGGCGCTGAGCCTCGACTGCAAGTGTAGCCGTGTGCTGTTTCTCTGTTGCTCTGTAGCTTGGTTCATCAACTTGGTGGCAAGCTCATTGACCTTGGTCCTATCAGCAGGGTTCAGCCTCGCCATCTCAACGGAGAGCATGGGCCCCCTGGGGCCGCCTGGCATGCCCATGGCCTGGTTGGGCCCCATGCCTCGGCCGGCCTGATTAGGCATGCCCCCCATGGGCATCTGCGGCTGCTGCTGCTGTTGAAACAGCGGCTGCTGAGGTTGCTGAGGCTGTTGCTGAGACATCTGGGGAGTCTGCATCGGATGCTGCATCTGCTGGAATCCCTGCTGAGGCGTCTGTCCATTGCGTCCCAACTGGGCCTGAAACATCATGGCCTGAGCCTGTGCCTGTGCCGCTTGTTGTGCTTGTGCGTGGGCATGAGCCTGGGCCTGGGCGTTGGCATTGATGCTGTTTTGCAAATTAGGCTCGTTTGCCTGTCGCCTCTTGAAAAAGTCCAAAATCTTGCTCGCCATGGCTTGTTCGTAGGCCTCCTATAATTGTCCTTGTCAGCTTCTGATGTGTGCTTTCGCCTTGTTGGATGGCTGAAGAGTGGTAGTACGCACCTTTGTGATTGATTTGTGGAACGCCTCTCGCTCATACTGGCATCCAAACTCTGTTGCTCGGCTGTAGTCGAAACCACCCATGCTAAGGGCGATGTTGGTAATCCTGGAGGCCAAAGTCAGCTACAGTCTCACGCCGCCAATTCAACGCCGCTCAGTGAGGGCAGTTCTCGCAGTACGTACAGGTCTAAAGCCTTGCCCATTCGCTCGTTGACAGGAAAGCTCGACTGCCAGGACATGCCGTTCATCGGTGCCGTGTTTTGTTGAATGTTCTGGTACACGATCTGCTGCAACTGATTCGCAGGAGGGGGCTTTCGCATCTGCTGGGGTATCATGGGGCCTCCCCCAGCCATGTGCTGCATGTTGGCAGCCATGGCCGCTTGTGTATGCGCGAGACACTCTCCAAGCCAATCTGAAGGCTGATTGCCGCCGCACAGCAAGGTCGAGACGAGCGATCGCGAGGGGGGTCAATCGGAAGATGGTGGTCGCCTAGGTAGTCGACGTGGTCGGAACGCAGTTCTTCGGGAACCAATGCGGTGCTCGTACGTTAAGGCGGGCGGGTGGGCGAGCGGATGGTTGTCTCGTAGGCAGGAAGCAAGCAGCCGTCAGGGTATACCACTGCAAGGTGCCTCAGCAGCCTCCAATCCTGCGTGTCCAGAGCCCGGCAGGGAATGCACCGAAGCAGGGTTTGGGCCGCGTTCGGGAGAGACGCCCAAGTCGCACATGCGCTCACTTTCAAAACTAAAGAAAAAAAGTAACCTGAGGCGCGGTCAGTGGGAATAATGTCCGCGGCCAGGCGCTGGCGTCTCGGGAGGGGAGTTTTTGTGATGCGGCGTGATGGTAAACAACAAAAAGGCTTTGGGTGGGTTGCGAACCAGATGCAGGGTCGAGATCGGCGGCGACGGACCGCTGGGCCAGACGTTTGTTCTGAGAGTGCGTCGAAGCGAACGTCACAACGAGTCGTCGATGCTGTGGCAGGGCACGGGCGACGGGCAACAAACAAGAAGGGATATGGAGGCGCTGCCAGGCAGGAATTTGTGGTGAGCGGTGGTTGATGGGCGGGAAGACACGAGAGGATGGGCGGATTAGCGTGAACGTCCAGGTCCAGGGAGAGGAAAATAAGGGCCTCAGGCGGAAACTTGAGCGTAAAGAAAGGAAGTCGAAGGAAAACCCGGGTCGGAAACAGCAGACGTGCAGCGAGGAAGAAGAAAGAAAGTCTCCGTGCCAGCGACAGGGCGACAAGGTGGAGGAGAGGAAGAAGTGAGGTGAATGTGACAAGGCGGGAAGAAGAGGGATTGTAGGGCGAAGAAGAAGAGCAGCAGTGGGAAAATCGATGGACGTCCAGGCTTGGGGTAGCAGAGGAGAGAGCCTAATTCCACTAGTCGGGGGGGTACGTACTGGCGACTCGGCAGCGACCTGCGAGAGGTATGGGTACAAGTACCCCGGTACCGCCAGAACCGCACGGGGGACACAGGGCAAGCAGAGCTGCGCTAAACCTTACGGGCTCACCTCCCGCCTGACCAGTTGATGCGCCATGCAGGCTGCAGTAGTGCTAATCGAAGGGCTTGCACTGACGATAAGACCTCGTTTAATCACGGCGACGAGAGATGATGTGACTGGAGTCTTCAGGTTGTTGACGTCTGGAGGTACGCCGCGCTGCTACCGAGGAGCTCCGGCAGGAGGTTCCTGTACAGGTACCAGACAGCAGCGGCACGTTGCAGTAGGTAGGGGTACCTCAGACAGCGGCAGGTGATCGTACATACAGGTAACTGCACGTCCCAGAGCAGACTTCAATCGACACGCCTCGAAAACAGCAGACCGAGCAGCAAAAAAGCGAATGGAAAACCCGGCACATAGCTAGGTATTCTGAGATATCCCACGCCGCTTCGCCGCCTGCAAAGTAGACATGAGAGCGACCCCGGAAAGGCAGGAAAACTGGCGATGGCCGCTTATGAGCAGCGCCGTGGACAACTGGCTCAGCTAGCGCTGTATTAGAGTTGCAAAGGCGAAGCCATCCAGCCCATGGCTGTCCCAACTGTCCTTGTCCTCCAGGTAAGGTTTTCAAAACTTCTGCTGCCAGCAGTGCCGCACAGTCGTGCGCGACTCATCGTTCAGTGAGCGAGTCTCATCGGCGACAGCTTGGAGCTCCTGTATTTCGTACCCAAAGACAGCCCCGGCATGTCTGGATGGATAGGTACGTGGATCATCTCGGAGGGGGGGCACAACAAGGGAACAGCAGGCCGGCAAAGGCTGGCAGCTGTCTAGTAGGTATTCGTCTGTCTGTCTGTCTGTCTGTCTGTCTGGCGCCTTGGGTCGTGCAGTGGCAGCATCGAATGGTAGGGCTCCGAAGAGGATGGAGGCCAAACAGAGGCGTGGAGGGCTTCTCGCGGCGGGTGGGCCAGGCCAGGATCCCCCCATGTCCCTGGTGCCAGATCCCTGCCCGGCCATCCACTCGAATTAATCCTTGGGCCTGGCACTTGCTTGCTGCTAGGGTCGCTAGTAGGGATACCAACACCTGCTAGTCCTCCGTCGCAGTGGCACTCTGGTATGACCATCGTCTGTGGTGATAGTATTTGCCTTGCTGTTCAGCTCTGTGGACAAGGACGAGGACGAGGATCGGTATGAAGCAACTCAGGTGAGAGTAAAGTACCTCAGGCACGCGGGGAGCCAAAGGTGAGAATCAGGTACCCACCCATAGGTAGCTAGAGGCGGAAACTGAGTTGAAGGCGAAGCGAAACATTCAGCCCGCAGCGTTCAAGGACATGGTACGTACCACCGCCGACTGGAGCGGCTGCCGGAGTGAGAGCCGGTCCAAGAGGTACCCGGTACCTACGAAGTGCGGGAGTGAAGCAGGGTCGGGGGTTCTCCCTCTCTCAAGGTACACGCACCAAGTCAGACTCGCCATTGTCACGGACTCTAGAGGCGGGCTGCGGAGCTTCGAGTTAGGTAGGTAGGTAGGTAGGTAAGCACAATCAAATCAGGAGCAACATGCTTCTGCTTTGTCCGGCAAGTGAGTAATATCAGCGGAAACCCATTGATTGAGCGGCATGTTGGAGTTTTGAGTCGATGGAACAAGATGAACGCAAAGTCGTCTGGTTCTTTGCTTGTGGGAGGGTACATCTACTTAGTAGCCTACGTGGGTACCTCCTTGTAGGACTGCGGCAACACCCATGCAGCGCTAGACCTGGGTGCTGCTGCATGTATCTGCCACACGGCTCGCTGCCAGCACTGCCTGTTGATGTGGTCTGCTTGACCCCTCCTCTGCCCTGCTCTGCTCTGTTGTGCTGTTGCTGTGAGCAAGTACCGGTACTTTCATGCCGGCGTGGAGGCTTGCAGAAGTTGAAGTCATGCCGCGTCCCCTGGAGACGATGACGGCGATTGACACCTGGATGTGACGAGTGCCGGAGGCAAGGGAGACGCGGTGAATTGCTGCAAGATGCAAACTATCAACATGCTGATGCACCATGGTGGTGGTGGAGATACAGATGTGGCAGTCGAAACCATCAGAGGGCGATTCGAAGGATCCAGCTCATGGCCTAGATGGCAATCCACCCCAAAGGCAGTCGTAGTTGTATCGTACTGTCAATACCAGAATCCCTGGATAAGCCAACGAATGCACTAACGCCGCTGTCAAGACTGATCGAGCTCCAGGGACACCAAAATGTAATAAGGCGGAGATCATGCTTTGCTAAGCACGACGTCGATCCAAAGTTCCAAAATCTAAGGTACCCAGCAATCACTCAGCCTTGGCTTCTCGATCTACAGCAGAATCACGACCAAATGTTCTGACACTTTTCATCCTGCTCTCGTTTTCTCCTTCGGTCAATGCCGGGGCCAAAAAGTTCAGGGTCAGATGATGGCTGAGCTTGCAAGGCTATCCGGTCAGATGTCTTTCGCTCATTGGTCCGCGGCCATGCCTGACGATCAGAAACTTGGAAGATCGCAAGTGCCGGTATATACCTAGGTACCTACCTAATACTTGCAGTTTGGCAGAAGCCTCTGATGGGTGTCCTTGTGGCCGGGACCGACCCAGGCTGGAATTATCGTAAAGTTTGTCCATAAGAGAGATGAAGTCTGGAGATTCCGTCTGCAGTTTATTGCTGCCAACATGAAGGACGTGGGTGCATGCTTTCCGGTGTGCACGTTTGGGTGATGATTGGGGACATTCTTCTTGAGTCAGGTACAGTATGTACAGTACACGCCCGCAAGTCGTCTGCGGACGCGGAACCCTGGTAGTAGATGCGACCTCAACCCTCTCCTGCCTAGGTAACCAAGAGGGTGTCAACACCAACAACACCAACCTCGCCAGACCTTCGGGGGGAGAGTCATACCGGAATCAGTCCAAGGCATCATCAAGGCGCTTCTAGAATAAGCACCACCTACCTACTCCGCAGTAAGATCAAAGAAAGCGATCCCCCAATGCGCCAAGATGAAGCGGCCGCCTTCTTGTCTGTCACCTCCTTTCGCAACCAAATTGAGTAGCATCCCGGACCCCACGCGCACTGGCTCTGCAGGACCTGTGCCCTTCTCATCTACCGTTTCAGCTTTCTTGCCCCCCAATCTCAGAAACAAGTTCAAACGTTTCTATCCGTGCTCCGTCTGTTTGGTAGCTGTACCTTGCAACCTTTACTAAGGTACCTACTACCTAGTACCTGTATAGCCTGTGTTGCCTCCTTCTGGTGCTTATTAGAGCTTGCGCGCCTTGCCGTTTGTGGTTCTGGAGCGGAAAGCTCATGGCCACGGCTTCAGAAGCTGGCAAAAGCACGCACACATCCTCCCTGGACAGCAACAAAGGCACATACGTAGCCTGTCAACGGGAGGACAAGCACGCTGGCTGGTTCCGTTCATCTCACCTCTAATGACCAGCTGGGGATAGTGGCCACGCCAGCCCACCCGCGGCTTTCGCCCCAAAAACGCGTGGCGCTGCTGCAATCGATGCGAATCATCGTTCCTTTGTCTGTGTAGAGGGGTGGTTAGAGACCGGCATTTCTACTTTTCAACGTGGGCGACGTCCTTAGCCCGCCCTTGCCCAGATGCCATCTAGCACTTCCAGCGCAGCGGAACGGTTACTACTAGTACAGTAGGTAGGCGAGGGAAGGGGATGAAATAGAAGGGAGGAGGGAAGAAGTCGTCGAAGAGCAGCAGGGTCACTGGATGAGGGACGAGGAAAGGGGAGCACGACGTTGGATCCCCCGGCGCCTCCATCGAAGCTGCGATCAATTGATTAGCGGTCGAGCCCTGCAGAGCCCTGGAGCCCTGGTCCGTTTTCCGTTTTCCGTTGCCTGGCCTGTCTTGAAGCCCTTGAACCTGGCAGTCTCCACTCTGGCTCTCGATGGTGGCGGATCTCGACATTTGATGGCGGACCCTTTCCTTTTCGTACGGAGACTCCATGTTAATATTACAGAAGTATTACCTCGCCTTGCTTGCTGTCCCGTCTCTGGGGGCCACCACCCAGCAGCTATTACCCCAGCAGCCAAGTCCCGGAATGCAGATGCTGGCACAACGCCTACTAGAAGTCTACCGCAGACACAACGAGGCGGCACCAATCGATTCAGGTACAGTAGGTAATTGGGGGTTTGCTCGCGGCTCAGGGTCAGCGGCCTCAGCCTCAGCCTCAGCCCGTCTCACTGCAACTTGTCCGTAGCTACATACCTACCGGGTATGGATGGCCAAGCGTGCGCTGGTCTGGGTGCTACTACTACTAGTGCTGGTGCTGGTCAGCTTGAGCGAGCTCCTTTGCATGGCGTCGAGTCGTGCCGTCTGTGCGTCGCTAGCTCCCGCAAAAGCCAGCCAGAGGAGATCGACAGACGGACAGACAGACAGCTTTCTTTTGAACGCTCAAAGGCTCAACGAGGTAGTACCTAGTACTGAACGCGCTGCGCTGCTTGTAGGATACTACCTAGTGCCTGTCAACAAAAAGCACAATGATGCGATGGCCTTGGCGAAGAGCACGTCGGACAAGGTCAACAGCGCAAGCCGTCATCCATCTCAGTCACCGTCATCTCAGTCTTGATCGTGACGGGCATTCTTAACGCTCCGTATCGAGCCACGTACTGTACCTAGGTATGTAGGTACCTCATGTACCTTGGGCGTCAGCGCCGCATCGCATCGTCGGGACAGCCCTTTGTGCTCTCATCTTTTTGTGCCCCGTTGGTGGTACAAGTACCTTAAAGCTTGAAAAAAAAAAAAAAATTAAGCGACAAGACACGACTCCTGCCCAGCATCAAAAGCAGAGCAGCTCCGAGACATCTGCAGCAAAAGTCTCAGGCGTGGCGCAGGTACACACGAATCGTCACGTCGTCTTGCATGGGGCCACGACAACGCATGAAGATTTTCCAAAGCTCTGTGTGGACTTTGTCGATATTATGGCGCCAGATCATCGTGGCGTTGCGGAGGAACGACCAATCTGACGCCAGTGGGCAAAGTCATCATGGAAGTCCGGGGACTCGTTCTCGCTCGTGTCGGTGCCGCGGAAATCGATGCCCTAAAGTACCTACATACCTACCTACACGTAGATGGGGAAACTCTGCAAACAACTGAGTGGAAGAGAAATGGCTGAGTACGAGGTCAAGGTAAACTTCACCATTCGGCTTGCCACCAAACCCAAGAATCGATCCCGTACAGGCACTTCTTTTCTTTCCGGTCCATCGTGCCGCACAATGTCATCGTAGTACAAGCACCTCTGGTACGAGATGCACTAAGGTACCTAAGGTGCTTGCTCCATCATGCTGAGGTAGCATTCGCATTCTGCCTTGGGTTCCCCAGAACCCTTCTGATCCGCTGTCCAGCCCGATGGACCAGGGGGGCCATTGTCGCCCAGCTGCAAGTTCCCTGGCAAAGCCTGATCCAAACGTCTGCGATTCTCCAACGGGCGTCTGAAATCGTCTCCCCCCCATCTCTGCACGGCATTCACCGCCCCAAGCCCGACTTGCTGGCGACTTTCTCTCCGTCGTTGCAAGGGTTCCAATTCCAGATGCCGTCTCAGAAGAAAGGGGAGAGGAGAAAAGTACCTATGGCCTGAGGGGAGCCGGTGCGGCGCAATCCCCTTTTGTGTCACAACAGAGGTGGTGGGAAACAAGTTCCGCCGAATTGCCCTTTTCGATGCTCAGCAGCAACTTGTCGTTTTCTTTTTCTCGTACCTGGCGAAAGCTGACTTCTGCTACACTCAAAAGCCTGGCTTGCGTGTGGTTGCGCGCACTGCAATCTGTAGAACCAAAGAGGCACATACTATACCTCACCTTCACCCTTATTAGCACGCTGGAGGCATCTGAATCCTTCCTTGTTGGACCTTGTCGATGCCCCCGTCCTCCACTTTTCCCTTCACGACATCAAGGTACTACTAGTACCGCGCTTTTTAGTAGTACCTGTCAAGGATCTCTTGTTCCCCGTCGATTATTACTTCAAGGATCTCCTTGTCCCGTCGATTCTTTTTTTTTTTTTTTTTTTTTTTTTTTTGGCAATCGGGGCAACTTGGCGCTCTTCAAAAGCAGCCCAAGCGGATGATGCGAGGCAAGGTTCACGTTCCCTCTTCCTTTCGGTATTATTGGTACTAGCAAGCTCTTCCTGTCTGTCCCCGGCGCACAACATACAAGTCCATTGTTTAGAAAACTCATGATTATCCCAGGCCTCCTTCTCCCCCCTCAAATCACCAAGCAGAAGCAGCACACACTGTACCCACGGAGTGCACTCCGATCTCCCCATCCCCTCCCCCAACTCGTCTACCTAAGGTACTAAAGGTATCAGAGTGTTTCTTTGTCTTCTTCTTCCCCTCCATTCGTTCTTCCCTCCCTCCCTCTCCCCCGGTGTCAAAAGTCGTCAGCTTTCCGCTGCGTCCTTCCACACCCCAGAAGTCTGATTGGACGCCTCCTCGGCAAGCCTGGGTATGTATGTACAAGTGGGCAAGGGAAGGGAAAACGATTCAAAGAAAGCGCTTGATTTTCCCCAATTCGGGGGGGGGGGGGGGGGGGGGGGGGGGGGGGACTTGGACCGGGCGCTGCGCTGGTGCGGTGCCGAGGAACGGGGTCTTTTCCTCTTCTTCCTTTTTTTCTCTCTTCTGTTCGAGGAGGCGAACAGCTCTGGCCATGTTGGGGAAACAAATAGTGGCAAGAAAAGAAGAGTTGGCATGAGGAAGCACGTTGTGTACCATGTTTCCATTTCTTATATTCTTGGGCTGAGACCTCTAATACTACATCTTTTGGTATCCCATACAGTTCATGCTAGGTACCTTACTTTGATATGAAAAAAAAATTAAAAATTCCTAGAGCCTTGCTGGCGCAAATAATTGTCCATATCCAGTCAGCCAGCCAGTCATGTGAAACCAGCAGCAAGACCCAAGGCTGATTCGAGTCGGCTTGGGCTGAGCTTCCACCATTTGCTGCACCATCTTCCACTTCACGGTGATTTATTAAGCTTGCCTTTTCAATTTCTTAATGTTACGCTGGCACCTCTTTCTTCGTTGCACAGGGTTACATTCACACGCGAATCTGTTTTTCTGCGCATGAAAAGGACGTTACTGTCTATATATCCCCTCTGATAACCTGACTGCAATAATCTGAGAGCCGATTACACCAATAACTGTCGATGACAGGCATTCTGTCCAAACTTTCTTACCAGATAAGAACGTGCGCCTTGTCTTATTCCCGGGCAACTTCCCAATGGGCTCCGCGAAGAGACATACCTTACCTTGGTCGTATCGACCACGACCCCTCTTTACCTCCCCGGCTGGGTGACTTGAAACTGATAAAGTCTAGATGCTGCCCTGGCAAGCCACAGTCTGCACCGGCTTGCCCCTGTTCCCCTGGGTTCTCCGTGGAGTGATTACCCAGTGTTTGGCCCAATACGATTGCATCAGACACTGTCATGGCAAGATACTTATCTGACATCTCGAGAGGCTTAACCGGTGTGGCTGTTGTACTGGTGGTATTCATGTCTACCTTGATAGCTATACACACACTGAACCTTGTCACATGTCCTTAACCGCGATCCTTGCGACCACCAATCACATCGACTTCTTGCTCGCTGCTTCAATGAACTCCAGTACGAAGCACCCTTTCCATCGTTGTGGCAGAAGCCTTCCAAGCCTGGGGCAAAGGAGGAGGTTGCGGCGGCTGCATCGCAGGCTCGTTGTCGCTCGTCGTCTGCGCATCACCGTCTTCCCCCAAGACTGCAGTCGTCACCTCGACATCAACGGGTGTCTCGACCTCAATGGGTACCTCGACATCAACTGACTCCTCTTCCATCCCTGGATCCTCTCGAACCCCACTCCCATCGTCATCTGGACATCTCTCTCTTTCCAGCTTCATGTCCATGATCATGCTCACCTCCGGGCAGTAGTCGAAAATTTCCCTTCGACGAGCTGCATCACTCCACATGTCCTCGTTCGAATTGTTGCCGCCTTCGCGAATGTGAAAGCCCACGGGTCTCTCCATGTACACGTCCTCCACAGAGATGGCACCATCCAACTTGGAGGCAATCTTAGCACCGGGAAGTACCCATAGACGCTTCCCGAACCACTCATCCTCAGGCTCCGAGTCGTTGAAGCGTGCTTGAAAACTGAGAACCCGCTTGATGACTGACACTCGGCGTAGCGAGAGGCCTCCGTATCCGGAGAAGCCATCGTCATCTGAGCTGCAGCCCGTTTGCATGTTAGACGAAGGAGAAGCCGATCAAGCCTCGATGGAGTATTGACGTACCGCGCAGCACCAGTCCAATCCCAGTCCAACCAATCGTTCAAGCTCGTTTCCGAGTTTGCACACAGCATACTGTCGTGCTCGTATTTCAAGATCCATTCTGCGTCTGGTAAGAACTCGGTATAAAACCTCGGATCGGTGAGCAGCCTGAAAACGTCCTCTTTGCTGGCGATGCTCCACGGGGGAGGAAGCTCCACCAAGTCCAGCTTCCCAATGACTTGCTGGTGCTGGATCGAATAGGCACGGCTGACGCTCATGATACTCTCGCTCGATCCGACGAAGAGAAAGCGCCAGTCAGGCGGCACCACCGCCATCATGTGCATCATCAAAGGAGACAGATGAGGGAGTGGCCTGGCCTCTATGAGAAGCGCGAGCTTGGACGAATTGAAAGCAGCGCGAGGGTCTTTGGCCGGTGGGATGGGCCAGTCCAACTTGACGCTGGGGATCATTCTCCGGGCTTCTTCGAGTCTTGAGGTGACTCTGGAGGAGACGATGGGCTCATATTGCGAGTGCAGGCGGCCGAGATACCACCTATACGGATGACTGCTTAGCACTGAGCTCCTGTTTGATGATCTGAAATTATGCCCATGTTAGACGCCTTTATGTAGGGACGTACATGAAGACCAACAGTATCGGAACGACTATGCGAGCTGGGGCGATGTTGAGAACCCCTGAAGTGTTGAACCCAGACATTGCGGCGCGACAAATGCTTCTCTGATGTGTTCGTGATCTGTGGGTAATCGCAAGCAAAGCCAAGTGGCCAATTCTCGTGAGACCTTTGGTGTTGTGACTGACTGATCGACGTCATTGAGCGGTGAAGATTGGACTTTGGCCGTCAATATGGGCAGGATCGTTGCCTAGCAAGTACGTACCTTCTTGATCACGCCTTTTCCTCGAATCAACAACTCCACGAGACTTGGATCAGGCCTTGACAGTCAGAGCAGCCGGAACCGAAAGAAAGGATGCGCTGGTGGGCGTCTCAGCGCCAAATCGATCCCCTTGTTGATACGATTCATACTTCCAGAGTCCCTCCCCCCGAACAGCATCGCAGACCGGTCTGACGGCATGCCCACAAACAACTACCGCCAATACATCAAAAACAGGCTACTCTCATGTCTCTGGGGCAGAAGAAGACGCTACACGATACTATGGGCTGCCATCCTGTCAGTTTTTTTTCCATCCCTGTACCCCAAAGCCCCCCCCCCCCCCCTTTCAGCATCTTCTCTCTAACAAATCCAGCAGCCTCTTCTTCCTCCCAACCATCACACATCTCACCACCAACACCAACATATCCCTTTACATTCCCCGCATCCGGCTCGAATACCCGCAGCCTCCTGGCCCCCAATCACCCTACAACACCTCCAAAGTCGCCCTCCTCATCGAGAACCGACCCAGCGCCGTCCTCGCCCCGCTCATGCTGCACTTCATCTCCGTCGTGCCCCCGGACTGGCACTTCCGCTTCATGGGCTCCCCCCAGTCCGTCGCCTCCATCAACCGCTCCGTCGCCATCCGGCACCACGTCGCCATGGGCAAGCTCGAGCTCACGTACATCCCCGAGAACATGAGCACCAACGGCCAGGAGGAGATTAGCCAGTTCCTGACCACGCTGTGGCTGTACGAGGCCGTGCTCCAGCCGGCCGAGTGGCTGCTGGTGTTCCAGACGGACTCGATGCTGTGCGCCAACGGCAGGCTGAACCTCAATGACTTTCTCGAGTACGACTGGGTGGGTGCGCCGTGGAATCCGGCAGGTCGCTGGGGTGGCAACGGAGGACTGTCGCTGCGGCGCGTGAGCCGCATCATTGATATTCTGCGCAACCAGCGGCGCGTCAATGGTTCTCAGCCGGAAGACGTCTGGCTTTCTGAACGGCTTGCTCATCATCCGGGAGGCAAGGTGGCCAACGGATCCGTCTCGATGACCTTCTCGGGAGAGATGCATGATGGACGGGCGAAGCTGAATTCGAGTAGTCCTGGCGTGGACCAGGCTAGCGACGAAGACTATATTCCGGGAGTTGATGACTGGAGAAGGGGGTTCTATGAGCCAATGGGCTACCATATCGGTGGGAGCGGTTCCTTTCTGCATAGTCCGCTCTGGGGCATGCCGGAACTGAGGGAGCACATGTGGAAATACTGTCCCGAGATCAAGATGACATTGGCCATGGACGTGGCCAAGTACGTGCCCGGGGACTGCGGCGCGCGATGGACATAGATTTGGGAGACTTGGCTTGGAATGTTGTAGTACATGCATCAAATTGACTGTATATTTGATTCGTTGAACCGAGATATCATACGGAGCGCAGAGTTTTTCGTGTGCCCATACAGTCAATCTCAGAGTGGTGCCAAATGGTAACCTAGTAACCAGTTAACCCAGCGCCCGAAATTCATCATACGCACAGCTAATACCAGCCGACCACCCCTTCTCATCAAAGATATGTCATTACAAGGGGAACCATGCAAAGAAATGAATCGACGCAACGAAAGGAGACCTTTGACTCTTAAGCAAGCCCCTCCGCCACGGCATGACCAACAGCCCCAGCCAGCTCGCCAAAGAGAATGCCCTTGAACACGCTCTCGCCCATATTCTGTGTCCAGGCACCGGCCTTCTGCAGCCTTTGCTTCCACGCATTCTTCTGTGCCGCGGGCAGTTCTTCCCATGTCTTAGCCGGGCCGTGGACTTCCTCGTCGTGGACGTCCAGACTAATCTTCTTGTCGCCAGCGCCCCTGCCCTCGACGTCCACGGCAGGATGGTCGGCTTCCCACATGACGAGCGTCTCAGCGGTGCCGACGCCGCTGCCGGCGAGCCTCGAGACGAGGTATTCCTTGTTGAATGCAGCCGGAGGATGAGTCGGGTCGCGCAGGGTGCCGTGCCAGGACGGGACGAACTTTTGCGCGTTGAGAATGGGCTTGCTGACGCCGTAAATCTCCATGACACCCTGCCCGATGATGGCCATGATGAGCACCATGATGGAAAGGGTGATGACGAGGGGTCGCCTGGAGGGAGCCTTTGCGCGCATGGCGGTGACGTATCGGACGGGTGCCTCACCGGGCGTCTTTGAAGAAGAGGCGTCAATGTGCCTCTTCAGGGCGATGCTGTGGACGGTAACGCCTTTTTGAAGGGATATGCTGGCTAGCTTGATGAACTGTTGGGTGAGGTGTTGCTTCGGAGGAATAAAGTTGGAAAATGCCAGGCCGGTGATGTTATCGCCCTTGTGGACGTCTTTCAACGTGTAGAGCGGGTGTAAGTTGGAGAGAAGCTCGATCGAGGCCATCGCTTTGTGATCCATGGTGTACAAGTAAATGGAGGCGTCGTTACCGGCCACCGCGATGATGAACTGCGTAGTGCCCACGGAAGTCGACGGAGACGAAGGCGGCGACACGTTTGCAACGGCGAGGGCGGTCGCGGAGATCTTCTTTGGAATGCGCACAACCGCGGATATCCGTGCCTTGTCGTGGCCTGGGCTCGGCAGCCGGAATCCCTGGAGAATGACACCGCTCGACTTTGGCAGGTTGGCCGCGGCCAGGATGAAGTTGGGCGTGACGAACCGAATCGCGCGGAATGCAGGCAGCTCGCCATGGTCGTCCGTCATGGTGAAGATGAGTTCCGGCTCGGAATTCTTCTTGCCAATCCTGACCAGGTACAGTTCGTACTTGTGGCAGTAGACAAGCAAGTGCTCTCCGGTCTTTTCATCCTGGATCAGGTCGAGGTCCTCGGCATCCTTGGCCAGATCCAGCAGGCCCTTGAGCTTGGGCTTGGGCCCCGTGACGTCGAAGATGGCCAGCTGAGGCTCCTTTCCCATGCCCGTCGCGGCAGCGCCGACGGATCCAGAGATGCGCAGCACGCGCTGGTAGGTTTCGGCATCCCGGTCGGTGAAGAAGGAGCTTCGAGCCACCTCTGCGACCTGTACATCGGGGTTCTTAGCACCGGCAGCTCGCGACTTGGTCTGCTCGACGGAAAACGTTCGAAGGTGAAAGTTCTTTCCCTTGGCGATTTCCTTGGGGCCCGAGTTGATGCCGGCGTAGACGTACGAGGGCTTGTCGTCGGTGGCGCCCGCGACGCCGAGCGACATGACGCTGTCTTCGTCGCGAGAGAGTTCGATGTCGCCGGCTACTCGGAGCTCACCCTGGTCGACGATTTCGACAACGGACTGGTAACAAGAGAAGAAGAGTCAGCATGTGATCCCATGAGCTATTGGAGGACGTCCAAGTCCACAGGTAGACGACGCACAATCTTGTTGCCCACGCCAGAACGGCCGACGCCGCCGCCGCCGCCGACAACGAGGCGATTCGCATTCTGGGGATCAAAGCTGACTGCGTAGAGCGGATAGTCGAGCTTGATGCTCGCCTGCGGGAATGGCAGCGCCATGCTCGATGATGTCAGGGCTGGATACCGCGGGGACGATGCAGTGGTCGCTCCGAGCTCTGCGCCCAGATGTCGATGAGAGAGGGGATTTGGTGAGGATCAAGGCGACTGTGGAATTGGGCAACAAATTGCTGTGCGCGTGCGCAATTGCGTTCAGGGAGCCATTGGGGGTGATGGTTTGGCGGATGCAAGAGCTGATGTTTGTGGCCAGATGTTCAGATCGGAAGCTCTGGAGGCGATTTTGGCGGGGGATCGCGGTTGTTGGGGAGCTGAGCTGAGCTGAGCTGGGGGGCTTGTACCTTGTACCTTCTGGTTGTAGCTCCATCCTCCATGAGGCGAGATGCACCACATGCAGCATCACCAACTTCAGGATTGCAATTGACGACAATCATGTCTCTCCATCTGCATGTATTACCATCCCCAGCTCCTAAATATGGTTACTCATTTCACATTTCCTGTCAGGCGACAAGTAAGTATGACGAGCGTGACAAGTCTCCGCCCCAGCCCGCCACAGTTAGTACTTAGGTATAAACCGTCTCCTCGCTTTTGATTGTATTGCTTCACCAAGTCGCAACACCGAAAACTGCTTCATGGTACCCCGCATTCCTCATGATCCCCGATTTAATCATCCGTCAAGTTGACATGCACCGCCTTCACAGTATAATACCCCCTCAGCCCATCCTCACCCAGCTCCCTCCCCAGCCCGCTCTCCTTGACCCCCCCAAACGGAACTCTCACATCCGAGTCATTGCTGCTGTTCACCCAGACCATCCCGGCCTCAAGATCCCGTGCCACTCGATGTGCCCTCCCGAGATCCCTTGTGAATACCGCGCCCGCAAGCCCGTATCTCGTTGCGTTGGCAATCTCTACGGCCTCTTGCTCGCTGCCGAATCGCGCGATAGCAGCTACTGGCCCGAATATCTCCTCTTGAAACGCCGCTGTGTCAACGCCCACATCCGTAAGTATTGTTGGCGGAACAAAGTATCCCGTGGATGGGAGAGATTGTCCCCGTGGATGAAAGACGTTGGCGCCAGCGCCTCGTGCCGACGAGATGTAGGACATGACGCGCTCTGCCTGCGCTCTCCCGATCTGCGGACCCTGGTACGTCCGAGGATCAAACGGATCGCCCAAGATGGATGTCTCCTCAGTGAAGGCCTTGAGTCTCTCCACGAATCGCTCGTAGATGCCGTCTTGTACCAACAGCCGCGACGTTGCCGTACATACTTGCCCCTGATTCGCCATGACTCCCTCGTGTGCCCATCTCACTGCCTGCTCCAGATTTGCATCGTCAAAGACAACCAGCGGCGACTTGCCCCCCGTCTCAAGCGTGACGGCTTTTAGCGTCCCGGCTGCCATGCGCATCACCTCCTTGCCCGTTGCCGTACTTCCCGTGAAGGCAATCTTATCGACCCCTGGATGCCGCGCCAGAGCCGCGCCCGCCTCTCCACCACGTCCGTTGATGATGTTGATGACTCCCGGTGGGAATCCAGCTTCGCGAACGAGCTGTGCCACGTACAGCATCGACAAGGGCGTCTGCTCTGCCAGCTTCAGCACGACCGTGTTCCCGCACGACAAGGCCGGGCCAAGTTTCCACGCCGCCATATCGAGGGGATAGTTCCAGGGGATGATCTGGCCACAGACGCCGACGGGCTGCTTCACCGTGTAGGCCATCTTCTTTGGGCCAACGTCAATGACCGAGCCATGGCTCTTGTCAGCCCACCCAGCGTAGTAGCGAAGCACTTCTGAGAACTGCGGCACGTCGTAGCTGCGCGATACTGACAGCGGCTTGCCATTATCCAGTGTCTCGATAGCGGCAAGAGTTTCGCCGTGTTGTTCGACCAGGTCCGCCAGGCGGTTCATCAGGTGTCCGCGTTCGGTGCCGGACAGCAGCGACCAGGAAGGGTGTTTGAGTGCTTTGCGGGCTGCTCGGACTGCTATGTCTACATCCTGCTCTCCGGCTGCGGATACGGAGCAGATGTCTTGCTCGGTGCTACCCGAGGTTAGAGGCAAGCAGACAAGAGGTCTTCATGATACATCTCTATTGGGACAGTACAGCTCCATCTAGGGGTAATCCGAGTATACATACAAGGGATTGACAGTTGTAATCAAATCTTCCGACACACTCGCGCTGAACTGGTTGTCGATGAACAATCCCAGGGGCTGAGTCCACCTTGTCCCGTTTGGAGCCGTCAGCTCAGCTTCAAGGCGAGGTGACGCCACATGTAGCCTCCGAGTATGGCTTAATCGGCGAGCCAAGACGTGCCGGAAGGCGACGCTCCGTGCCGGCAATGCCAGCCTCTTGGCTGTCATCGTGATACGCCCTCCTGACATCCCTATGAATGCCGAGGCAGAACAGCCGAGGCGTGGCTGCATGTACTACGATCCGCGTAAGGTATGTACCTAGTATAATGCAGCCTCGATAAGATAAGCCGAGTAAGTCGATGGTATAGCAGTCTTCAAGGTAGATCCCTAGGCCAATCAGATACCATTGCAGGCCAACCATCCAATTCTGCCTTGGCCGGCAAACCTGGCAGGTCAATGTCGTCGTCCCTCTTATTCTGTCTGTCAGGTATAGAGATGATATCTCATAAAATACAAATACTACTAGTACTAGGTACCTTCTGAGCTTCAAGGCTTCGCCCCACAACTCGGAGATCGGATCTATCCTGTCCGATGCCACCGTGGTACGTGCCATGCTTGAGCTCGGCTCCAGGGAAAATGAATGACACAGGCATCACCTGGTCCGACACTGGCAATCAACCGCATCACTTGTCATTTTGGGGTTTGATCGATGACCACAATTACAATATATTGCATTCACCCTTGCTCGTAGTCAGGGGCACCGGGATTTCTATGTGTCATATATATCTAGCAAGCTCCCAAGCAGATCCCCCGCTCTTCATCTTTCCTTCGTCGCGCCGAAAGCCGAGATATATTATCGGCATCTCAGACGCCTCAAGAGACTTCATCCAATTTGATTACATACGTATTATATTCCCAAAGCCAAAGCCAGAACAGTACCAATTTCATAGCCGCATAAAGCAAGGAGTAGGCTGTATAACGAGCGATCCATCATGCTCAGAGGCTCTTATCCTCTCTCTCCTCCCGTTCCTTCTTCTGCACACCCTCGTCCCCCCTCTCCAATGTGTGGCGTCAATTGACCGTGTATGTCTCGCCGTTCGTAGGTGGACACCCTTCTTGGGCACTGGTTTCATGAAAGCAAATAAATGGATAAAGGAGCGTAGGTCTGTATTGAACAGCTGTTGCAATGGAATTCGAAGTATCTTGCTCTTCGATATGTTGGTGATTAGGTGATTGTGTCATGCCCGTAAGGAAGTGGGCATGACAAGGCGAGATTTTGCCTTAGGCCCACATGATGCTTGGGGAACACAGCTCGTAATCAGTCGCTTGATAAACCGTACAGCGATGATGTATGAAAAGGAAGGTGGCCAAATGAACAATGAAATGAAGGAAAGTAAGTAGAGCAAAGACATATTACTATAGGTAAAGTCAGAAGTGTCGGTTGCCCGACGGAGATTGTATTCGCGCTGGTTCAGACCGTAAACCAAAATATTAAAGGCCGTGTCCAAAATCGAATTAAAACCGGTATAATGGAAGCGATGACAGATTATTAATAGCGTGAAACTGAGCTGGTGAGTGTTGCATCGTTGTGTTGTCGATGCCGGCACGGGCCCGAAGTTTCGGAGATGGGTTGAAGTAGGAGCCGGGAGTATTACCAGTGGGATCCCTCCTGGTGCTTTCGTGTCGCCGTTGCCCAGCCAGTCTCGAAATGGGACGGTTGAGCGGCCCTCCACTGCCCAGTTCTGAGATCTTGCTCGTGAGCCTGCCCAGGTCCCAAACCGGACATGGGAGGAGGGGGTCCATCCATCACTCGCAGAGGCGGCAGTCTCTCTCCACTGGCAGACGAAGTTGCAGAACCGGGTCTCGGTGGCGGCACTCCATAAGCTTGGCTGTGCATCGACGGGAGGCCGTGCAGCGGACCTGAGGGCAAGGCACCATACATCGGAGGCGAGTAGTCTGGACGATCATCTGTGCGCCGAACAGGTCCGGGCCGCTCCGCGGATGACACCTCGCTAACATAGCCTTGAGTAGGAGTCGGGATGTGGTGGGATTGAAGCAGGGGGCTCCTGTCCGAGAAGCTGATGCTCTTCGACAACACGGGACTAGGTGGACAGGCGGCGTGGTTGCTGATGGCTGGCGTCCGGGATACAATGTCTCTGAGCCGGTTGCGGTCGTCCCTGTAGAAGTCCCGATGGGCCGCGAGTTCCTCCAGTTGTTGCAGCATCTGCTGGCGCTCTTCCTTTAGCTCCTGCAGCTGCTTCATGTTTTCCTCTTGCAGTGTCTTCTTCTTTCTACGATGGCGAGTGGATGCCTTTGCGTTCCGCTGTCGCTTTTCGTCCGCCTTCTTTGACGCCTGGGAGTAGTCTACCTGAACGGGGATCGGTGTGTCGCTGCCTGGGAGAGTCATGTAGGCCTGTTGAGATTCCATTCCGACAAACGACCCTCCCTGTCGACGCAATATCTCTGGCCACGCGGGAGCTCCCTCGCCGGGTCCTCCCATTCTTGACAACGGGCGAGTAGTAGACAAACCGGTGATTCCGTGTTGTAAGTGCGACGGCGTGTGCAAACCATGCGGCCTGCTCTGAAGTTCTCCCGGTGGAGGAATTGTCGGCGGCTGCGTGTGAGGGGCATCCAGGGGGCGATTGAAAGGCTGAGAAAGAGATCTTGGTGGAGTCACCATGGGAGTATGGGGACCAGAGGCTATTCCAGAAGGTTGATGAAGACCAGGAGCGTGCCTGGGCTCGTCGGGAGTATCCGGTTCGTAGGGTCGCTTGGTAGGGGCCATGCTGGGAGCCAAAGGTTGTCGCGTATCCTGATCCCGAGGGGGGAGGGCCTGTCCAAGGCTCAATGCTCGAGGGGCTCGAGGGCTGAGGATCTTCCTGGAGTTGCTCATTACGGGGAAAGGATATGCCGTTGAAGGGGAATTCCGCTCGGATATCGGCGGTCTGCCGGTAGGTGTCACGCCTGCAGCAACTGGGGTCGTGGGCAGAGATCCTGAAGCAGAGTGGCCATGAAGGTAGGGACGAGGAATGCCGTAGGGGGTCGAAGATGCCGGATGAAAAGATTCGGTTTCCCTTGCTCGCGAAGATGGACTGCCGCTGGTGTCGGGTCCCATGGGGTGTGACTCGGCCGGGTTAAGAATGTTGTGCACTCCGAATGATTTCGATGAGGGTTGAGCAGCACGGCCAACGTCGGGGGAAGCCCCGGCAGGGTCATACCGCTGCGGAGCAAATTGGGAGTACGCGACGCGTTCGCTACTAATGGGGGACCTCGAGGAGAGACGAGAGGGTGGGCGAGGACCAGGTCCCCTTTGCAACATTGAGACCTGATCGCCTACACACTCTTGATCTCGAGGATCAGTGCATTGACCCCTTTTGTCGCCAACCAAGAAGCGCAGTTTGTTGAGCTTCGGAGATGTGATTCGGGAGAGAGTCTTGGACAGCCAGGAAGGAGTAGTCGGCGTCCTGGGCGACTTTGGCGTGCTTGCCCCGGATGAGTCGTAGGCACGGAGTTCAGGGCTGTCTTTGACTGGAGCAGGCAGCGCCCGTTGCCGCACGTCTACAGCGGAGTTCGCCAGGTTGATCGTTATTTGATTGGGGACCGGCTGGGAATATACCCAAACAGCCCCAAAATCAAACGGTGGTTGCTATTCGGACGAGGCCCGGTTGGGATAGGAAGGGACAAGAAGGCGTTGGCGCCGACAGTCCACAATGTGATTCCGTTATCTAGCTTGACAAGCCCTAGCCAAACGACTGGAGTTGTTCTTCCAAGGAAGCGATTCGATGGGTTGTAGAAATGGGGGAGCGGAGTATTAGTAGTTGTTGTCTCGGCCCAGGGAGATGGAGTCAAGAGTTGTTATGCTGAATCAAGAGGCTCGCTCAGGCTCCTAACTGTTTGCTTGAAGCTTTTGCTGGCCAAGTCAGCTGAACTGTAGGAACACTTGCGCTCTTTGGGGTGCTGAGAATGGTAGAGGCTCGCCAGAGGAGTGCTATGGCATATATAATGCTCTCGAATGATAATGTGGCCAGCACACAGCTTCCTCCACCACACAGGTGTTGCCTGCAGGGGAGGGGGGGTGGAATTGCCAACGTGACTGCGAAGTCTACCCTCTATCGTGTAAGAGGACGAGGCCAACGGCGAGAGTCGCAGCTTTCAAGAAGTCCGCAACCCGTCCCCAAGATATTCCAGCTATCCTCCTGGTGAAGCGGATCGCAGGGCTGAAGCTGCGTGCAGTATCCCCTTGAGCAGCTTTGCGTATCACGAGTGGAGTGGGAGTGGTGAGGGGCGAGGGGCGAGGGGGGAGAAGGAGGTGGAAGATGCTAAGATAGGAAGAGGCGAGGGACGAGAGCGAGATCACGAAGCCGAGTGAAAGGAAGATCCGAGATGAGGCAGAGATACCAGATTGAAGCATGGAGTGATAGAGGAGGCGAGGTCAGGGAAGGAGCTGCTTACCTGAACAAAGTGAGGCCTTGGTGAGGCAGGTACCGGTCCAGAGCAGTTGCCGTACTTTGTACTTTGTCCTGTGTGCTTGAGGCAGGTACACGTCAAGTCACGCCGAGCGAGACGGAAAGAGCAGGCAGTGCTTCGAGGGGAAGGAAAAGGCACTTCAACTCCTACACCTTGCACGTCGAGGCTCTCGACCGGGATCGAGGAGGCAGATCCAGGAGCTTTCTATCTCGGATCCAACCCCAATCGACGTCGCAACAGCCCGAGCAGATGGACAAGTCAACAGTATCAGGAGTCACTCGCGGCACTGGCAATGGTGGGCAGCAAGAAGAGGCGAGAGCTGTGTGACGGAAGAAGGGCGACGGGAGAGGTTCTCATCAGAGAGCTTTTGGCCGAGAGAAGGATGGCAAGCCACAGTGGGAAGCATTGACTGTCGACAGTTCGGCCGCCCACAGCTTCGTCTTGAAATATGCCACGCCGGTGACCCCTGGTCGTCTGGAGGAAGGAAAGTACTGCTACGACAGCATTCGCATGGTCACGCCAGCCCAATGGTCTGTCCCACAGCCAGGGTTTCTGTGAGCGAGCATGGGGGTGGAGGCGCCACATTCGTCCACAGACATGGAGTTTTTCGTGGACGGAGCCATCAGTGATTTGACCCATGCTGGAGCCAGGGAGAACGAAACGTCAGTCGAGCTACCAGCAGGTAGAGGTGCAGCACGCCGCAGCACGACCCCATCGCCGTCAACCGCGGTCTCTCTCCACTGCGAAGAACCCGCTAGTAC